GAATATTGTATACATAATAAATAAAAAAGAAAGAATAAAAAAGAAAAAAGAAAAAAAAGGGATTTAAGCCAGGCAGTAGTGGCACATGACTTTAATCCCAGCATCCAAGAGGGAGAGGCAGGCAGATCTCTGAGATTAAGGCCAGCCTTGTCTACAGAGCAAGTTCCAGGACAGGCTCGAGGTTACACAGAGAAACACTGTCTCAAAAAAACAAAAATCAAAACAAAACAACAACAACGAAAAGACTTGACTGTAAAATCCAGTATCAGGAAATGAGGATGACAGAGAAAGTAATTGCTTTGCACAGGGAGTGAGGGACCCACAGCGAATGAGAAACCTGCACTGGAGCTTCCCACACCTTCTAAACTGTGCTTACTGAATCGGAAATCACTCCACCAATACATTGGGGAGACCGGTTTTAAGGACTGACGGAATGACACTTCAAAGTGTTATTGCCCAAAACTGCTGAGAGAAAACAAAACTGTTTTGAAAGCAGTGCTTTTTTGAGGGGTGGGAGACCCCCACAAAGAAGCAAAGTAGGTTATGCTATCTCAGGGTTAAAAAGATTCTGAAGGTGTAGAGCCAATCCCTTGCTGAGGCTGAAACAGGCTTGCTCAGACCATGAGCCAGCTTTCTCAGGAGTTTCTTGTGCCTCATTCTGTCTTCTAGCAGACTATGTCTCCCTGCTAAACACTTAACCCTCCCACCAAGTCCCCTTTTCAGCACTTAGTCTAATATCTGAAACCAGGAGCAGCAAACCCATAGACAACAGAAAAGAGTCTGACTACAAAGCATACTTACCGAATCAAGCCGTCTAGCACCGAATTAACAATTATTTAAAGCACGTGCGTGCACGCACACCTCAAATACAAGAAAACAGTTTCTGAAATCTGATGCTTCAGAAACCTACAGTTTCTCAAACCCGTGATGTGAGCAAAGGATCTAAACAACTCTCTTAGAGCAGTTCAGAGACAGACCATTGCACTCCACCGAGGGAGAGATAAGGTCTGCCAGGGCTGCTAGAAACTACCACCAGCTCCAAGCCAACCTCTGTGACATCAGCTTACAGCCCCCTTCATCACAATGCCAAATTCTGTCCCACCTCTAGGCATATTTTAGCTTCAAGAAATAGGGACTATTTTGTACCATTTAAAGTCTAACAGTTGGGAGTCTGCTAATCAGAACCTGGTCAACTGTATCATTTACTTAAACAGAATGATGGATTGAGGTTTTAAACACCTTTGACATTATAAGCTACATGTGTTTGGCTGTGTTCAGTTGTACAGTGAAATGAGGTGAAGCTGTTCACTAGGATTCAAGCACACACTCAGCCACACTGGCCGTGTCTCACACCTCATGTTTAAATTACTGCAAAACAAGGAAAGTTAAAGAGAATCCCTATTTGAGTCAGGTATAAATTGTTTGATTTTTTTTCTTGTAAGTTGTTTTTCAGGCTCCATCTTTTTATAGTTTAAAATATAAAATAACCTAAGAGAAAGATCCATCCCTCCTACTGAGATTACTCTTGTTTGAGGCTTTGTTCAGAAGCCCGAATTCTCACCAGGACCAAAAGTATTTCTCCGATGAGCAAGTTCAGTTTTCAGCTGAATCAAGTTACCTGAGTCCCTTCCTTTTGTACCTAACATTACACCTATCACCTAGGATCATAGATATCCAAGTATGCATCTTGCCTGGAAGTCAAAACTATATGTAGTTTAAGAAATATATATATATACATATTAATATATAATTTTAAAATTATGCTAAAAAATCTAAGACCATGTCTGAGACTCAAGGAAACCTTTTAATTTTCAACTCTGTAAAATTAAACATATATTTACACTTTCAACATACAATGGC